TTGACTGATTTCTTTTCCTCAAGTCCAAGTTTGTCTATCTTTTTACTCTCTAGCTTAGGCTCTGAGTATGACTCCTGAATTAAGGGTCTTGCTGCTCTCTCTCTTGGGTGCCCCAGAAGTCCATGCAGGTCTCACTCTTACCTCCTGGTATATTAAACATTCTAACTTCTCTATTGCTTTTTTAGTAATAATAAATCTGTTATAAATATTAATACACCAGTTGTTTTTATGCCTATATTTTTATTACTTTTTTTTTTTTTTTTTTTTTTTTTTTTTTTTTTTTGAGGGTCTTCCTCTAGCCCCAGCTGACCTGGAACTCACTATGTAGACCAGGCTGGCCTTGAACTGACAGAGAACTACCTGCCTCTGCCTCCCAAGTGCTGGGATTAAAGGCGTGTGCTACCACGCCCAGCTACTTTTTAATACTATATTATTTTATGTGTATGAGTGTATTGCCTGCATATAGGGAGGTGCACCCGTATCATGCAGTACCCACAGAGGTCAGAAGAGGGTGTCAGATCCCCTGGAACTGGAGTTATGGATGAATGTTAGCCACCTGTGGGTGCTAAGGTTTGAACCTAGGTCCTCTGTAAGAACAGCCAGTGCTCTTAACTGTCGAGCCATCTCTCCAGCCCCTATACTTATATTTCTGGACAGAAAAGGAATTTTGAAAATAATGACCTATGTCTTCCAGAAGATAAAACAATTTTTTTACTTTTTTAATATTTTGACAACTTAAACTCTAAACATCATTAGATATGATACTGTGTTCAAAGAACTATTCATATATTTAAAACTGATGTGCATCTAAGACCTCTATGCAAGATAGTTATTTAATGCTTTTTTGTGTGTGCTTGAATATTTTAATTTTTTTAAACATTGTATTGATTTTTAAACATTTTAGAGGAATTTTCTTATTTGTGTTTGTGCTTTTTTAAAAGACTTATTTTTAGCCGGGCATGGTGGCGCACACCTTTAATCCCAGCACTCGGGAGGCAGAGGCAGGCGGATCTCTGTGAGTTCAAGGCCAGCCTGGTCTACATAGTGAATTCCAGGCCAGGTGGGGCTGGCTACAGGAAGACCCTGTCTCAAAAGGACCAAAAAAATAAAAGTAATAAAAATATAGGCATAAAACAACTGACTATATGGTGTATTAATATTTATAACAGATTTATTATTACTAAAAAAGCAAAAGAGAAGTTAGAATGTTTAATACACCAGGAGGTAAGAGTGAGACCTGCATGGACTTCTGGGGCACCCAAGAGAGAGAACAGCAAGACCCTTAATTCAGGAGTCATACTTAGAGTATACTAACACTTGGGAGGCAGAGGCAGGTGTATCTCTGTGAGTTTGAAGCCAGCCTGGCCTACATAGTGAGTTCCAGGCCAGCTAGGGCTACAGGGAGACACTGTCTCAATATGACCTCCCACAAAAAAAATTACAGACCCTCTTCTTCATTGCTACTGAAAATAGTATATGTATACTAGAATTTTAATTGATAGGATTATGTTCTCTGAGTGGAACTTACTCCTTTGGTATAATAAAGATCATATTAAGTCGAATTTTGAACTAGGGGTAGGATAATTAATGTGTACTATAAAGATGGAAATACTAAAACATGGGTCATTATACCATGACTTTGATATTAATGGTAGAATTGAAATCATCAACATTATTTATCTTCTGCCAGTTTCATCTATGGGTACTATGTTGTTTCTTTGGTATATAATAGTGTTTAAAATATAATTTTAATTTGTACTTTTATGCTTTTTCTTCACCTATACTACTTTGCTGACATCCACTAAGGAATTGGCAAATTGTCAACTGCTGATGGTAAAGCCTTTGCAGACCCTGAAGTGCTGCGCAGACTGACATCCTCAGTTAGTTGTGCACTGGACGAAGCTGCTGCTGCACTGACACGGATGAGAGCAGAGAACACCCACAGTACAGGACATGTGGACACGTATGTGTTAATACTTGTGCTGGTATCAGACATTTTCTTGAGGTTTTACGGAAGTAGCCAAATTTGTTAAATCTTTTAGGAGAGCTGATAAATTAGCCAAGTGAACATGTAAATGGATGTTACATTTTAAGTGGATTTATAATTGTATACATATTATGTGAATATTAAAAAATTGATATTTTTATTGTGGGTTTTTTTTTTTTTTTTTTTTTTTTTGAGATAGGGTTTCACTATGTAGCCCTGGGTGGCCTGGAACTCACAGGAATTTGCCCATGAGTCTGTAACTTTTGAGGATTGCTGCTTTTTAAAGACAGCTTCAAGGAGAAGAATAGTTTACGAAAAAGATTTTTTTGATCTTGCTTATTTTGAGCAGAGTCTCCCTGTAGGCCCAGCTAACCTGGAACTCACTATGAAGACCACTAGGCTGACTGGATCTCAGATATCTTCCTGCCTCTGCTTCATGAGTACTGGAAATAAAGGCGTGCACCACCACCCAGCCTACCAGAAAGATTTTGAAAAATAAAAATGACAGTTATTGGGGAATTAGGGAAGAGAAAGGAGTGGAAGAGGAAATGAACAAAAGTATATATGAAAATTCCATTAAAAAAAAAACTGTACTATGTTACTATCCATCTAAAAAAAAAACTCATGTTACTATTTAAAAATAACTCATAGCTGGGTGTGGTGGTGCTTGCCTTTAATCCCAGCACTTGGGAAGCACAGGAAGGCAGATCTTTGTGAGTTGGAGGCCAGCCTAGTCTACATAGTTCCAGGCCAGCTGGGGCTACAGAGAGACCCTATCTCAAAAAGGCAAAACATAAGTAGATAACTCATAAAAATGGTAGTTATTTTCAAGTTCTTTTTTGACTTAGTTGAAGTTTGTGAAAAATTACAGTTGCATGCAGGATGCTCAGCAAATAAGATGTTCATTCAGATTTATTTTGGTATGCTTTTTTATATATGGTTAACTCTATTTAATAGTGTCTTTTCATAGGACCCCAAGGGTTTTTTTTTGTATGTTAATTTTGTGTAATGGTTTTGTTTTCAGTCGTAGTCTGGCAGAAGCTTGTTCAGATGGAGATGTGAATGCTGTTCGTAAATTGCTAGATGAAGGCAGAAGTGTAAATGAACATACAGAAGAAGGAGAAAGCCTGCTATGTTTGGCTTGCTCAGCGGGGTATTACGAACTAGCACAAGTAAGCAGAAAAAAATGTTTATTATATTTGATGGAGCTGGGGATCAAACCCAGGGCCTTGTGTGAGTGAGGTAAGAACTGTACTACTGAGCTAAATTCCCAGCCCCCAAATATTCTTCATTTTATTATTATTATTATTATTATTATTTTATTTTATTTTATTTTTTCAGACAATGTCTCACTATGTAGCCCTGGCTGGCCTGGAACTTGCCATATAGACCATGCTGGCCTTAAACTCACAGAGATCCGCCTGCCTCTGTGTCCTGAGTGCTGGGATTAAAGGCATGTACCACAATGCCCAGCCCCAAAATAATAGTCAGTGTCGATAATTATGGAAGGGCTTGGATATTACTTATGAAAGAAGTTATAATTGGAAGCCAGAATTTCCCTCTCATCGTTTTTAAAACATAATCCATTTTGTTCCTCATGTGTAGCTGGGCATAGTTTATTTTCTGCCACTTATTCAAAGGTAATTAATCCTAACAAATAAGAAATGAATGATAATCATATTTTTTCTGTTTTTGGAATTTTTATTTGTTTTCTTTTTGAGACAGGGCCTCCCTCTGCCTGCCTCTGTCTCCTGAGTGCTGGAATCAAAGGTGTGTGCTGCCATGCCTGGCCATGTTTTTGTAATTTTTGCATGCATTTGTCATAAATGCATATTCATATGAGTGTGGAAACCAATGGTTGGTGTTAGATGTCTTTCTCCATCATTCTTCACTTTATTTACTAAGGCAGGGTCTCTGACTAAACCTAGAGTTCAACCATTCAGCTCTAGCTAGCCAGCTTGCTCTGGGGATCTCTAGTACCTTTTTTTTAAGGTCTGGGAACTCTAGTCATCAGGCTTTTATGGAAAACACTTTATCCATTGAGCCATCTCCTCAGTGCTAGCTAAACTTGTCTTTATGAATGTATTGCCTGCATGTGTATAAGTGCACTTGTGTGGTGCAATGCCTGAAGAGGTCAGAAGAGGGAGTCAGATCCCTTGGAACTGAGTTACAGATGACTGTTAGCCATCTGAGTGCTGAGATTTGAATCCTGGTCCTCTGAAAGAGTAGCTAGTGCTCTTAACCCCTGAGCCATCTCTCCAGCCCCTAAACTTATTTCTTAAAAACAATATATAATGCTGGGCATGGTGGCACATGCCTTTAGTTCCAGCACTCAGAAGAGGCAGGCAGATTTCCATGAGATCGAGCTTGGTCTCCATAGCGAGTTCCAAGCCAACTGGGACTACAGGGAGACCCTGTCTCAAAAAGACACGCACTCATGCACACACACAAAACAAAATCAATATATAACTGGGGGCTGGAGAGATGGCTCAGGTTAAGAGTACTGACTGCTCTTGCAAAGGATCTGGTTTGGGTTCCCAGCACTAGTAGGGCAGCTCACAACTGTCTGTAACTCTAGTTCCAGAGGATCCAATGCCCACTTCTGGCCTCTGAGGGCATTACATGCTTGTGGACACTTATGTACATGCAGACAAAATTCATATACATTAAAATATACATATATATATATTTTTTTTTTGAACAATTCATAACTAGTCAAGTGAGGTCTCTCTAAGTAATGGCTCCTGCTGCCAAGCCTGAAGACCAGAGTTTGATCCCCAAGACTCACATGGTGAAAAGAGAACTGGTTCCCACAAAATGTCCTCTGACCTCCAAATGTGTCCTGTGATACACACTCAATTCACATATAAAATAAATGTAATAAAAATAAAAATGATGCATAACTAAGATGGATATGGTGGTGCACACCTGTAACCTTAGCACTTGGAAGACTGAGGCTGGACTACACAGGAAATCCCTGTCTTAAAAAACTTCTTAAGGGGCTGGAGAGATGGCTTAGGGGTTAAGAGCACTGACTGCTCTTGCAGAGGACCTGGGTTCGATTCCTAGCCACCACATGGTGGCTACGAACTGTCCTTAACTCCATTTCCACAGGAATCTGAAGCCCTCTTCTGACCTCCGCAGCATTGCGTGACACGGGTGCTCTCACATATATGTAGACAATACACTCATACACATAAAAAATAAAAATAGGGGCTGGAGAGATGGCTCAGCAGTTCAGACCACTGGTTGTTTTTACAGAAGACCCGGGTTTGAATCCCAGCACCCACATGGCAGCTAACAACTGTCTCTAACTCCAGTCCCAGAGGATCCGACAGCCTCTTCTGACCTCCGCGGGCATTGCACGACATGGGTGCACTGACCTACATGCAGGCAACACATGCATACACATTAAAAAAAATGAAAAAAGCCAGACGTGGTGGCACATGGCTTTAATCCCAGCACTTGGGAGGCAGAGGCAGGCGGATCTCTGTGAGTTTGAGGCCAGCCTGGTCTACATAGTGAGTTCCAGGTCATCTGGGGCTACAGGGAGACCCTGTCTCAAAAAGACCAAAAAAAAAGAAAAAAAAATTTTTTTTTTAAAAACAAAGAATTCTATGTAACTATAAAGGAATGTAGTGTTTTTTTTCCATTCCCATTCTAATATTTTTCCTTCTATATAGACCAATATTGGAAAATTAACCTTTTTTTTTTTTTTTGCTTTCTTGGTATATAACCTCAAACATAACACAAGTTCCTTTACAAGAGAAGTCACATATAATGGGATGACTAATGAGATATTTATTTGAAGATTAACATGTAACAGGTAGTTGTCTTGCATGCCTGTATTCCTAGGAAGAGGATCCTGGGTTCAAGGTCATCCTTGGCTGCATAGTTAACTTGAGACCAGCCTGGGATGCATGAGACCCTGTCTCTCAAGATTAACATATAACAATATAGTAAAAATACAGTATCTGACCTGTTACCCTGATCAGTGAAAATTGGCATATTTTCCTAAAAGATGATTACTTTTTATTTTTCTTCATCCCTACCCTTAAAGGCTATCTTCTCAGTCAGTATTTTCTCTATAAGTACTATTAATAACAAGAAATTATTAATAACAGCTTCTTTCTATGTGTGTGTTTTTAAAGGTGTTACTAGCTATGCATGCTAATGTTGAAGATCGAGGGAATAAAGGAGACATAACACCCCTGATGGCAGCTTCCAGTGGAGGTTATTTAGATATCGTGAAATTATTACTTCTTCATGATGCAGATGTCAACTCCCAGTCTGCAACAGGTACGTAGAGAATGATGTGAATGAAGAAAAAATTGACAGAATTTATTATAACCTGGCAAAAATTTGATTATCGGGGACTGGCGAAATGGCTCAGTAGTAAAAAGGTGCTTGAAACCAAGCCTAACAACCTGAGTTTAGTCCCCAGGATCCACATGGTAGAAGGAAAGAACCATTTCCTGCAGGCTGTCCTCTTATTTCTATGCTCACACTGAGGTGCACATACCCTCGACCCCATGTACACTCAAAACATATAAATAAATGTAATTTTAAAACATTAGATTATTGCCAGGCATGGTGGTATACACCTTTAATCCCAGCACTCGGGAGGCAGAGCTCTGTGAGTTTAAGGCCAACTTGGTCTATGTAGTGAGTTCCAGGCCAGCTGGGGCTACAGCAAGACCCTGTTTCAAAACGACCAAAAACAAACAAACAAAGCTATTAGATTATTTAGCTAGCCATGGTTGTGCTTGCCTTTAATTCCAGCATTTGTGAGGTAGATCTCTGAGGTTTGAGGGCAGCCTGGTCTGCATAGCAAGTTCCAGGCCAGCCAGGACTACATAGTGAGACCGTTGGTTAAAAGAACAATTTTAATTACTAGGGAAATCTAATGTAAACCTTCTGAAAAAATCTTGGCTATCAGGGCTGGAGAGATGATTTAGCAGTTAAAGAGCACTGACTGCTCTTGCGGAAGATCCAGGTTCAGTTCCTAGTACCCACATGGTGACTAACAGCTGAATGGAACTCTAGTTCTAGGGGATCTGACTCCCCTTTTCTGGCTTCCATCGGCATTGCATGACACAAGTACGCTTGCATACATGCAGGCAAAATATTTATAACATAAAATAAATTTTAAAAATTAAAAAAAATCCTGGATTTTTAATAGAGTCTCTGAGTAAAATAGAAGTACAAATTAATATATCTTTAAAAGTCCTTTTTTGGGTCTGGAGAGATGGCTCAGCAGTTAAGAGTACTGGCTGCTCTTGCAGAGGACCCAGGTTTGATTCCCAGCACCCACATGGCAGCTAACAACTGTCCATAACTTCAGTTCCAGGGAGTCTAACTCCCTCTTCTGGCCTCCGAAGGCTTCACACAACATGGATACACTTACGTGCATGCAGGCAAAACACTCATACACATAAAATAAAAATTAAAAAATTTTTAATAAGTCTTTTTTTGTAGTTTTATTTTTCAGCCAAAGTCTCACTGTGTGACCTAGGCTAAACCCTTGAACTCAAAAGAACCCCTTCCTCATCCTCCAGAGTGCTGGGATTATAGTTGTGCACCACCATGCTGGTCTTCAAAATTCTCTAAGCCACCATACAGCCTCCCTGTAATCTGAGCACTCAGGAGACTGAAGCAGACGTTCTTGAATTCAAGGACTGACTGGGTTATATAACAGCAAGATCCTCTCCCCAACAAGAACAGCAGATCTTTTTTTTTTTTTTTTTTTTTTTTTTTTTTGGCGATAGAGAGTCTCCCTATTATCCCAGTTGGCCTGGTGGAACTTCCTATGTTGACCAGGCTGGCCTGTACATCACAGAAATCTGACTACTTCTGCCCCTCAAGTGCTGAGATAAAAGGCGTATGCCACAATGCCTTGCTAACAATAAATCTTTAAAAACTTAGGCCCATCATAGTAGTACATGTCTGTAATACTAGCATTTAGGAAACTTAAGGCAGGAGGACTGCTGAGTTTGAAACAAGCCTTGGCTTCATAGGGAAGTTCTATGACAGTTTTAGGCTATAGTTCTCACTGTGGTGAGATCATCTCAAAAACAAACATGGGCTAAGAGATGGCTCAGCAGTTAAGAGCACTTGGTGATCTTGTGTAGGACCCAGATTTGATTCCCAGTACCCACATTAGGTTGCTCATAACTGCCTGTTACCTCAGTTCTTGAGGATCTTACACCTTCTTCTGCCCAATGTGGGCACTGTACACAATTGGTATACATACATATTCTTAGACACATACACATAAAATAAACCTTAAATAAATAAATAAATAAAAACCCTTAGGTTCTATTTGGTCAAGGTTAATAGTTTTTCTGCTATTAACTAGTTTTTGCCCCAGTGACATATATTCTATAAAGAGACAACATTATGAACTGCATCTCCTATAATTCTTTATCTCATTTAAATGTAGCTTTACTGTATTTACTATATCCCTTTACTTTGGATCACTTGGGTGTGTTTACCATAATTAGATTTTTCATTTATAGTGTGCTGAATACATTTATTAATAAGAGAATGCTGACCACTCTCAACTGATTTCCTTCCCCTCTTCTTTTTAAAAATGTTATAAAGAATGTTCTAATAGACTGTCTACTGATTGAGAGAAATGTGTATCAAAAATATGATACACATTTAGATTTAGACCTATGGCTGAGAATGTAGCTCAGTTGGTAGAGTACTTGCCTAGTGTACATGAAGCCCAGGCTTTAATTCTCAGCATTGTTGGGGTTGGAGAGATGGCTCAGTGATTAAGAACACTGGCTGTTCTTGCAGAAGACCTGGGTTCGAATCCCAGCACCCACATAGCAGCTAACAACTGTCTGAAATTCCAGTTCCAGAGGATCCAACAGCCTCTTCTGTCCTCTGTGGGCATTGCATGACAAGGGTGCACTTACCTACGTGCAGGCAATACACACATACACAAAATTAAAAAAAAAATGAATTAATTCTCAGCATTGCTTGGAGCATATTCCTGTAATCCCAGTGCTTGGGAATCTGAAGCAAGAGGAAGATTGATAAGAGTTCTAGGCCAGCTTGGACTACAGAGTGAGAACCTGAGTTGTTAAAAAAGTTTGTGGGGTGTTTTTTTTTTTTTTTTTTTTTTGTCTTTTTGAAGCAGGGTCTCCCTGTAGCCCCAGCTGTCCTGGAACTCACTGTGTAGATCAGGCTGGCCTTGAACTCAGAGATCCGCCTGCCTCTGCCTCCCAAGTGCTGGGACTACAGGCATGTGCCACCATGCCCATCTGTTTTTTTTTTAAGATCAGGTCTTCTGGCCTCCCACCCACCTGTAAATTCCTAACCAAGTTCTTTTTAATTAATGGATTCATGTTTTTAAAATGTTTATTTGAGCTGGGCATGGTGGCACACGCCAGACTAGCCTTGATCTCACAGAGATCTCCCTGCCTGTGCCTCCTGAGTGTTGGGATTAAAAGTTAGGGCCACCACGCCTGGCCCTGTATTGGACTCTTAAGAAAATCAAGAAATTGGGGGGCTGGAGAAATGGCTCAGTAGGCTTCTGCAGAGGTCCTGGGTTCAATTCCTAGGACTACACATGGCAGCTAAGAACCACTTATAACTCCAGTTACAGGGGAATCCAATGTCGTCTTCTCACTCCTCGGGCATTGCATGACACGGGTGCACTTACACACATGCATACAATACACTCATACACATAAAATAAATGTAATAATTTTTTTTTTTTTTTTTGGTCTTTTTGAGACAGCCTTTCTGTAGCCTCAGCTGGCCTGGAACTCACTATGTAGACCAGGCTGTCCTTGAACTCACAGAGCTACACTTGCTTCTGCCTCCAAGTGCTGGGATTAAAGGCATGTGCCACCATACACCTGGCTAATAAAATTTTTTTTTGTCTTTTTTTTTTTTTTCCGGAGCTGAGGATCGAACCCAGGGCATTGGCACTTGCTAGGCAAGTACTCTACCACTGAGCTAAATCCCCAACCCCATAAAATATTTTTTAAAAAAGAAGATCAAAGCCGGGTGTGGTGGCACACGTGCCTTTAGTCCCAGCACTCGGGAGGCAGAGGCAGGCGGATTTCTTTGAGTTTGAGGCCAGCCTGGTCTCCGTAGTGAATCCAGGCCAGCTGCGGCTATAGGGAGACCCTGTCTCAAAAAGACAAAAAAATAAAAAATAAAATAAAAGAAAATCAAGAAATTAAGATGTTGATGACAGAAAAAAGAACTTGAGCTGGCCATAATGACCCATACCTGTAATCTCGGCTACTTAGGAGACTGAGGCAAGAGGATTTTGAATTCCAAGCCAGTGTGGGTAACTTCTTGAATGTCTGTGAAGGGAGGGAGGGAGGGCGGGAAAGAGACAGGCAGGGACAGACACACCCTGGGTTCATTATCTAATACATACACACCAAAACAGTCACATAACTTGAGATAGTTGTAGTGGTTTATGTCAAAGAATTGGAGAACTGTCTAACTAGAACAATATTATGATTTTATGTATTGTGTCAAAATCTTGTACTATTTTGTTTTGTTTTTTGTTAGGGAACAGTGCACTAACATATGCCTGTGCTGGAGGATTTATTGACATTGTGAAAGTGCTACTTAATGAGGGTGCAAATATAGAAGATCATAATGAGAATGGACATACACCATTAATGGAAGCAGCCAGTGCAGGTCATGTGGAAGTCGCAAGAGTTCTTCTAGATCATGGTGCAGGCATCAACACTCATTCTAATGAATTTAAGGAAAGTGCTCTGACACTTGCATGCTACAAAGGTACTTTTTATGTTTGAATATGTACTTTTTTTTCATAACAATATAAAATATTTGTTGAGTATTTGAGTTAACTTTATATTGTTTTCCTGAGTATTTGAATTAACTTTATATTGTTTTTCTTGTGCAGTAAAATTATTGAATCTTATAAGACATTATATAGAAAGCCCATTTTAGCATGAACTTTCGTACCCCAGTATATATTTTTATATTATTTTAATTCATTTAATTATGAAGTCAAACAACTTGAAGATTTAAGGTTTCTATTATTTAATAACTTTTGTTCTATATGATTTTTTCCACCTTAAAATACTAGAAGCCGGGTGTGGTGGCGCATGCCTTTAATCCCAGTACTTGGGAGGTAGAGGCAGGCGGATCTCTGTGAGTTCAAGGCCAGCCTGGTCTACATAACAAGCTCCAGGCCAGCCAAGGCTATGGGGAGACCCTGTCTCACAAAGACACACACACACAAATAATAATAATAATAATAATACACAAATATACTGATACCTGATATAGAAAATGTAAAAAAGTATGGTGTAGCTCTAAGGGAATTTAAAATGACATGTAATGCTACCATCTAAAGGAGAAAAATCATATAAACAATATTCTAGTCTATTTCCAGTGTATTTTAAAGTAAGTTTTAAAAAAAGTGAAATAAGACAATTTAAGTTTTACAGTCTGCTTATTTTATTTAGCGGTATATCATGAATATTTTTCTATCTCAGTAAATGTTCTTCTAACACAATTTTGGATGGTCACTTGGTATTTCAGTTTTTCAGTTAGACTTTCTAGATTGATTTGGTTTCATATGTCACAAAACACACTAATGATTTAAATAGAAGAAATCCAAGCATAAGTAAGCTGTCTAGTGCTAGTATCACAATTCAGTTGTCAATCAAGATCTAAGAATTCTATTTTTCTGTTCTATATCCTAGTATGTGGTTTCTTTCCTCAAGGTTATCCATTAGCCCAGCAGGCAGCTAGAGCCCCAGCAATCCATTTTTTAGGAAGGATGAAGAGAGTAAGACCAAAGTAGCAAGTGCCTTCCAATTTAGTAAATTCCTTCTAAAAAGAAGTCTTCTTGTAACTCTCACTTGCATTTCATTGGCTCCCCTTTGCTTCAGGGAAAGCAGGAAAGTATAGTCTTTTTACTTGGAAGTGTGGCTGTATCGATAAGATTGGAGTCTGTTACTAAGAAAGAATAAGAATGGACATTGAGTAGGGAACTAGCAGTCTCTACCAAATACATGGAATGGGTACACCATAGTTACCTATTGTTGGACACTTGAATTGTTCCCAGTTTTTCACTATTATTTAAAAACACTGTGATAACATCCTTGTACAGACATTTTTGCCTAATCTCTGATTATTTCCTTAGGATAAATTCCTGGAAGTGGAATTGCTGGGTCAAAGGGTATGGACATTTTTAAGGCTTTTGATACATATTGCCAAATTGCCTTCTAGAAAGGTTGAACCAATTTACACTCCCACCAAGTGTTTGAGAGTCCCCTTTATACCACCTTACACCCTCACCAACACTGGGTATTATCATTCTTTTTAATATTTGCCATTTTGATAGTTAAAACAATGGTGTCTCATTTTAATTTGTATATAATAGGAAGGTTTAGTATCTTTTCATCAGTTTAATATTCATTTGTATTTCTTTTTTGAATTACCATTTCATATCCTTCACCCATATTTCCACTGGAATGTTGATATTTTTCTTATTGACTATTGAGGGTTTAAAAAAATATGTTAACTTTGTCAAGAGAATTGGAATTATTCTAA